CACGTATGTGCCGGGAGACAAGGGAACCAGCGCCTCGTTGTAGGGGTGAAAGAAACACTTAAACAAAGCGCTGCTTTCAGCCGTGATGCTGTGTACGAGAGGCGTCATGATGGCGTCTTCCCTACTTTTCCTCGGAATCTATCCGACGCTGAATCGGGCACGAAGGGAAGCGCGGAGCGGCGCTTGAGAGACGCGTGGGTGTGCGCAGCCGATCCCTTTGTTGCCGCGCTGACTCTGGGCTGAGGCGCCGCTGTGGTAATCACTCGTGGCTCCCGCCTCTGGTTCGGTGCAAAGATGGCCCCCCGAAGGCCCGCTTCTTCCCCTTTGCGGCGCGTGTTTGGGCGCATTTGAATATATTAACGCTGCCACCGCACAAATCCGGGCGGGTCGCGCAGTGCGGTCGCAATCTCTCGCCCACCCCTGAAGGATGATGACTGCACGTCCGGCGGAGAAAGCGGTGCATTTTATGGCGACGCGTCGCTGGCCGCTGCTGCTCGGCTGCCGCTATGACGGGCGCTGTCGACACTCACCGCTTTGAAGGCGATAAATTGCTCTTCCCTCCGGCCCCTTTCCCACTTCGTTCGCGATTCGCCCTGGCCCGAGTTGCACCTCGTCCCTTTGTTCTCGTTTTTCCAGCGATGCGTGAGCTCGTGAACTCTCCCTTCGGGCGCTTGTGTAGAGCACGCGTGTTTATGTGCATGTCTTCTCTTTCTGGCCCGTTTCGGGCGCCGTGTTCCTGCCATTCCAGTGCTCCCCCCCAATCTTTTCCTTTCAAGCGCCGCCGCTCCGGGCCTATTTGAATATACGAGCATGGGCGCAGTTTGCGACCAAAAAGTCTCCGCGCCAAAGTCATGCAGATCAGGCGCCCGCGCGCTGTTCGTCGCGCTTGCATGGTTGGCGCCGCCGAGCGTGGCGGCATCAGAGTGACGTCAGCGGTCTTTTTTTTTTTTCCTCTCCTTTGCGTCGGTTCGCCGTCAGTGTGTGGGCTGTAGTCGTCGCCTAACATCGCTGTAAAGCGCGTCCCTTGTGCGTGCCTGCCTTCTTTGCGACATCGTGACTCCAGAGCAAAGCAAGGGCGAAGAAGTGCAGCGCGACACCGCGAGGGTTGCTTGCGTAGTTTGATTGCCAGCAAAAGTTGGACCTGCAATGCGTGAGCGTCGTCGTAGTTTATAAGCAACCCGAGTAGTAGTTCCACCGAATCCCGCTGGGCCTCTCAGTGTAATTTGATTTATTTCTTATCATATTTTTATACAGCTAGAGGTGGCGTTTTACCTTCAGCCTGGAGCATCAGCCCAACTATATAAAACAGGCGCATACAGAGGCTGGCTTTTTTTTTTTTTTTTTGCGAACTGCACCGCCTTTGGAATCTTTACCGCAATTTATTTCGCAAATTGCCTCAAACCTGCGGAGGCTAAAAAGAGCACTGCCATTTCATCGGGAATGTTGCGGGACGCAATCGTGTTTTTTTACCGCATGTAATAAATTTCGTCATCGTGCAGAGGTGCGTGTAGATTGAATTCTATGTCGAGTTTAACGTCCCAAAACCACCATATGATAATGAAGGAGGCCCTAGTGGCAGGCTCCGGAAATTTGGACCTCCTGGTGTTCTTTAGCCTGCACCCAAATTTAAGCACACGAGCCTACAGCATTTTCGCCCTTATCGAAAATGTAGCCGTCGCAGCCGTGATTCGATCCCGCGACCTGCGGGTCAGCAGCCGAGTACCTTAGCCACTAGACCACCGCGGTGGGCAAGGTGCGTATACAGTTTGAATGGATGACGAAAGCGTGCAGTGAAAACATCCGTCTTCCTCGCTTCTCCGTGCCATTGGTCTTGCTCAACAGGCCCATTAGTATGCGCCACTCGTGAAAGCGGTGCGCAACCGAGCGCTTTCGAAAGTGGCCCTAAGTTTAGCGTCGCCTGGGAATGCGCATTTGAAAGATTGCCGTTGATTGCCGAATATGTCGCGATGGCTCAAGCTGTGGATACGCCGTATAAACGACTTCTTTTGCGGCTCGGCAGTGCAAGCTTGTCGATGAAATGTCCCACCGTATATGATACACGGCAGCACACTTTCGGCATCATACTTTCGCCCCCCCCCCCCCCACCTCCTTATCATGTCAATGTAGGGAGGCTGACTTCGCCCCCCTCTTCCTATAATGCCAATGTATGGAGTTGGCGTTTTGCCCCCCTTGCGCGCGCCTATGGCTGCAGTTATAACAAAAGTTGCGTGTTCTTGCGTTTTCGTTATTCATTGCGCTCATCAGCACAGGAAAATGTGTGGATTGAGGCGTTCGTTTGGACATGTATAACAATGTTGAATTTAAGCCGTTTATATACGTAATCAACTTGTTGTTCGTAACCATATACTGAAGCTGCAGCGTTTTGTGCGTTTGACGCTGCTATCGCATAAGAGAACGTGAAACTGCAGATTCTGCATTAAGTTTACCCACACTCGCCGCTGTTCGCGGGTGACATCTCTGGAGCACTTGGCTCGTCTTACTCCGTCCCGCACCTTTCGTTGTTTCAGTGTAAGCGTGCCCCGCATTCGTTCAACATGTTTAGCCATCCACTTAACGTCCGCGATCTGGGCTGTCTGCAATATCGTCTGTGCTATATGTATACCTATCGGTTCAGGACCACGTGGTAACCCGTGCTAACAAGCGTGGCAGCCTGCTGAAAACCAATAAGGAAATGGCAATTTTTTTAGTTGAGAAAAGCGTGGATTCCGCCCCATTTTTCAATCAATTAGCGTGTGGGAATAGTTTTTTTTTTTTTAGCGATAGTAATTATGGTGCATGTGTCCTCGTGCATTCAGGATCTCTTCCCGTTTGCTTCAGCTGACAGGCTATAGTTCTCAGAAAAGGGACAGCTGTAAAGTGCGACGTTTCCATATATGTAAGCGCGGGGAAGCACACTGCCTTCTCGTGTAACTTCTGGTCCGAGGCTGTTTCAAAAACGGGGGCATGCGGCTATAAGGCCAGGCGCCCTTTCTTCGAGACCTTCTTTTCTCCGCTAATATTGCCGAGTCCCTCTAGCGAAAACGTCGCGGCTTTTGCGCAGACGCTGGCCTTTTTAACGCGTCGCCCCGAGGCGTGTTCCCCCTTTGTGCATCGCGAGGACGAAGCGGCGACGAATGGTGGTGATGGCATCGCCTGCTCCCTTTCGCCTCCCCGGGGTAATTAAAAAGTTTCGCCGCTAATCGCTTCTCAGCCGGATTCTTAGTACGGAAACTTCGCGTCGCTCGTCCGTGTTCAGCAGCCTTTTCTTCGTTCGCTTCGCATATATATATATATATATATATATATATATATATATATATATATATATATATATATATATATATATATATATATATATATGAAAATGTGAACAAGTTCAGCTTGTGTGCACGTGTTTGGAAGTGTCGCGTAGCACGGTGGTTGCTCGTGGCTTTTCCGGGCGTGCAGTTTACTCCTCGTGTTGGTTGGTGCTTCGACGCGCTCGCTTCTTTGGTGATTCACGACCCCGCGAAAGAACTGGGATGGCTTACAAGCCGCTTCGGCACGCAGCGTAGCAATATATAGCGTGCTTCTTGGGTGATGGCTCTGCCGTTAAGTGTGAACTTTGCGCGATCGTGTTCGATGACCGGGTTCGCGTAACGTGTCTTTTGTTAACCGCGGGAAGTCTGAAAACTTCGCCTGGCGCCTCCTAGTTCTTTCGTCGCCTGCATGGCTCGATTTAAACTGCGTTCGCTTCTGTGTTTTAATTATTTTTTTTTATTCTTGTACGCACTGCATGGAATGTTTTGGGAGCAGGGACGATGGCACTCCTCTCGGTTTGTTCGAAACTCCTTTCTACGCTACTAAGTGCTACGCGTCGCCCCCTTTAGGCGCCGTTCGCCATCTTCAAGTCTGACCTCTGTCGCCGCGTCGTTTTTCGTTTTCCCCGTAGGCAGCCGGTGAAGGCCGCATAGAAGGTTTCTGGCCTTTGCAAAATGCCTCCGGTGACTGATGCCACTTGCGGCGGCTAGGTTTTCCCCCGCGTGTTTCTTCTGCTGTCTCTCGGTTTGTGCAAGTTTTATGCTAGCGTGCTTGCATAAAACCTGTCGCGCTTACTACGCGCTTGTTTGTCGCAGGTCTGCCAGCGAGGGTGACGTTTGCACTTGAAATGTGTGGCTGTGGCACCCTTTCTGATGTTGTTAGTAAAGTTACGTTTGTAGTGCCGGAGCAAGCTCGAAATTCCATGCTAAATATTCGGTAAGCCAACAGAAATGTCAGCGCCCTTCTTTCAGGTCGCCCCATTTCCTTTCTTTTTTTTCAAATTTCGCCGCCGAAGCACATGTGTTTGGGAACTTTGTGTGCTCAGGTTTATCGCAAGACCCCGGCTTCATTTCAGGGCCGTGGCTGCAACTGGGTTTCTGTAAGGGCAAGTTGCAAGATCGTGTAGAAGCGTAGTTGTAGGCTCTTTACACCTCTGAGATTAATGCATCGTCACATTTAAATTTGAGGGCTAGCTAAATAACTGCATACCTTAACTATACGCTTACCCGGTAATTGTGTCCTGATGGTACATGCAAAGCGCAAGAATTAAATATTGTATAAGTATGCGAGCTGTGTGTGCCTGTGTGTGAACATGATTACACACACGTGTGTGTGTGTGTGTGTCTGTGTGTCTGTCTGTCTGTCTGTCTGTCTGTCTGTCTGTCTGTCTGTCTGTCTGTCTGTCTGTCTGTCTGTCTGTCTGTCTGTCTGTCTGTCTGTCTCTCTTCATGTTCATTCAGTTGAAGCGAGACTAAGTAACCACCTGTCGGACGTTGGGGGGACGAGGCCGTGTGCAGTAGTCGAGTGACTTCACTTTTCAGGTGATTCCAACCGATGGTGCTGCTGTGGGACACTGGTTCTACGCAGCTTGTAATGCATTTAGTATGAGATGTTCCAAAAGATGTCTTTATAAACTGTCTAAGCGCCAGTGTCACCTGGATGCATTTCTAAACCGTTTCCTCTCTTGCGCGTGTTCGCAGTGCTGAGCTTACGAAACACGCAAGAGGAAGAGCCCCCTGACCCTCAGCTGATGCGGCTGGACAACATGCTGATCGCTGAGGGCGTGGCGGGACCCGAGAAGGGCGGTGGTGCCGGCGCGGCCGCCAATGCCTCGGCTGCCGCATCGGCCGGTGGACAGCCCGAAAACGCCATCGAGCACTCCGACTACAGGGCCAAGCTCGCGCAAATCCGTCAGATCTACCACCAGGAACTCGAGAAGTACGAGCAGGTGAGTTCTCCCATGCTTATACACGCGCGTGTGCACGCATGTCACGGCACGAACGCCACTCGCTGTCTGCGCGTGCAGTTATTCGGTTATTTTAGGTATACAGAGGTCAACACACTTGTCTAGAACGGGCGCTGTGCTCTGTATTGACCACGTTTGCCGATTTCACCTGGTTTGAACGAGCCGAAGTTAACGCATGCATGATCGCAGAGGATGAATGCTCAAGTGTGGGCTAGCATAAACTGCTTGTTAACTGTATACGCGACTTCGAAGAGAGCTTGAACGCGCCGTTCCAGCGTTGTAGACGAGTGTTTTGAGCTATTCGCGTCGCATCCATTGGTCACGGTGCAATCGGTATTTATTTTGTATATTCTGGATGAATATTCTCAAAATACTGTGATTAACGAATGGCCTATGGAGCACACACGCAATCGTGGTGGCTTGCACTTGATTGGCGATGACGTACGCGTATTCAACTGAGAAGGCGTAGATAGCTATCCTCAAAGCTGAGTTTGTTCAGTTTGTGCTTTCAAGGCGACTTGGTTTCTGCAGCTTCTATCCACACAGTTTTTTGGCGATAGGAAAGTTGTTTCAGGGTGTGTCTTTGGGCTGGAAGCAGGCTTAAGGCTTCTTGTCTTATGAGGTAGACCACTGCATAGCAATTTATGTGCAACGAATCGTGTAAGTTGCTATGAGTTCGGCAAGCGATATGTACGCTGAGTCGGGATCCTGAATCGGTATCACAGGATTGTCGAAACACTTGAGCACTCACGTCGTAAAGGCGCCATTATCCGCTGTCGTTTCGTGAAGGCCTTCGAAAATGACGGATCTCTCTTGTATTTTTTAGATATAAGTAGGTATCAAATCAAATTTAGATATAAGTAGGTATCAAATCAAATAGTAAAATCAAATCCGTTGCCTTTGAGTAAAGCAGCTACATATTTCCTGTGACCTGGGTTTTTCGCATGTTGAAGGTCATCACGGATTTCTTGCGAGGACGCAGGTAATGCGTGTTACAGCGGAGTGTTTTCTAACACTATATCTCCCCAACGAAAGATGTGCTGGAATAGCGGCTCTTGACAAGTGTATCGTTTCGGCGCTGCCACGAACCGAAATTCATAATAACACTTCGCATAATAAGAACTTGGCCGGCCGATAGTAGTTATCTCAGAAGCGGAGCTCCTTAGTGAATGCCTCCACAATTTTGCATGAACGTTATCCCGATTATCAAGCGAAGTTTCGCGAAACGACAAGTCCCAGAGTCGAGTTCTGGCCTCACTCGATCTCGGACCTGGCGTTTTTGTCGTATTTCATCCTTCCCTTTCCGTCCATTGAGTCCGGAGATTTCGTGCCACGAGCGTACAAGCTACGGACGACATATTTTCGAGCGTCTTCCATTGTCGCGCCCCTGTATGCGTCTCGTGAATCTCGAGAAACAAATGCGTTCGCACGTGCGAGGCGGCTGTGCAGAAAGTTGTCTCTTCGGTGCAGGGCTCCTCTTTTCAACTTGTCTCTTTGCTTCGTCTCGCGTCGCTTCTTTCTCGGTCGTGTGTTTTCCTCGCGCGTTCCTTGTCTGCGCAGCAGTGTGCGGGCGCTCGGCAGTGGCGTGCTGCCGATGCGTGCGTCGGGACGCGATCACGCCACATTGCGTTCGAGCAGGGCGACCGACTGGCGCGTCGAGGGCTGTTGGCGTGGCGTTGGCGCGCGGTGGGATGTGCCATTTCGCTTGCGTAAAAACGAGCACCGTTCTCTCTCTCTCTCTCTCTCTCTCTCTCTCTCTCTCTCTCTCTCTCTCTCTCTCTCTCTCTCTCTCCTGTGAACGTGTGTCAGAAATATCCCATTTTTACTGCAACGCGTCTGTAAATACGCTGGCGCGAGCTTCTGATGGACAGCTAGCGTATACGACTTTAGGCGTTTGCAGCGCATGCAGACTGCTAGGCAGCGGCTTAGTCAGTCACGAAGGTCGGTGAAGATACAGTTGCTTCGAGCGAAGGCTTTCCACGTAAAGAGCCTGGGCCTTACACTTTACAGTCATCACTAAAGTTCCATCAACAGATGGCAGTGAAGTGGCTTGGTGGTGACCTGGTACGATTTCTGCTGCCACGTTCCGCTGCAGTTTTCATTCGACTGAGGAGAGCTGCGTATTCAGCGCGTTCTTTTTTTTTTTTTCTGCTTTCGCTTGCAGTTACAAACCAGCTCGAGCGTCTATATTCCATCGTTTGCGTGGTTTCATAGCTTCATTTGAACTCCGTCCTCGTATCCGTAGTGCCGTTTTTTTTCCCCCTATCTCTCCGCTATTCGGGGCCTGCCGTTTATGCCTCATATCTCCCGCTCACCCCTTTGAGCGCGTGCACGCAAGAAGAAGCACATGAAGTGACGAGACATCGGGAACATCTTTGCGGGCTATAAGGCCGAGGAAATGGCGCGCGGGTGAAGTTCGCGAGCCGTGGAAGCTGTTTTCTCTCTCCGGCGTCGTTTCCCTGGTGCCCCTGCCCCCTCTCGGGCGCCTCGTCATTTTCCGGTAAGACACCCTACTTTTACTTCGATTGGCGGAATATGACGAAAACGAGAACCTTCCCGATGGGTTTTCAAAAAAAAAAAAAAGTCATGATAAAACATTGGGAGTAACGCTAAGATGGCAAGAAGTGGCGAGATGAGGCGTTCATTCCGTTCTTCATCTCAGAGGGGGTCGCGGAGCGGCGAGAAAATGGAATAAAAGATTGGGGGAAAACGAGCTGAACGCGCGCGGCGATATTTCCGTCGCCGCCTGCGTGGCTCCGGAAACAGGATCGGGCGCGGAAGCATCGGCCGCATCGCGTAATTGACTCTGCCTCCTCGGGGCGAAAAAAACTGTAGGAATAAAGATTTTATGCGGGGGGCTTTTCTCCTTTTCGAACGGGTTGGCTACTTCTGCGTCACTGCGCTCCGTCGCACTGCGTGACGCTTGCGTAACTGTGTCCTTCGCTGCCGTTTCCTCGCCAGATAATATTGCGCGCCCCATAAAGTATGCGTGCATGCATTATCGAACATGACAGCAGGGCTCGGTGCTATACAGAGTCGAGGCGAGGGTTGTTGGGCCGCATGTACTCAAGTATAGCAGGGCCTGCGAATCTATGGAGGAGGGCACATCGCGCGATGGAACATTGTCCCTCCGACGACCACTTGTTCGGTTTTTTTTTTCTTTTTTTTTTGCGCTAGGCCAGGCGAACCGGCATGACTGGGAGCGCTGCTGATGGGCGTAATCGGCAATGAGTTGCCTGTGTCGAACGTCTCTCGTAGTATGATGATGGTACATTGATAATAAAGCGTGAGTCGACCGCTTGGAATGGCAGCAAGCTGTTTGAGAGCGTGTTGTATATGGTATACATCACAGTTCTGGTGACGACTCATTCCCAAATATTTCGTCTTCCCGTGGTGTTTTGTCGCCTAGCGCCACTGCGCGACAATGAGTCGAGTCGTCGCTTACCCACGTACACTTATGGAGCGCCTATTTAGATATTTCTCGTTGTTCCGAGAGTAGTTGTGCTCAGGTTGACGTCCTTGTGCGAATTTTATAATCGGCAAACCCATTGGTTAAGACCCGCAGCGTTACCAGGTCTACGATTTCTTGTCTGCATTTATTATTCCATTTTAGATTGTCAATGCAAAGTTACTGGTGATTGGCTGATTGTTCGAATGTCAGAGAGACTCTTTGGCAAGACCAAGGCGGAGCAGTCGGCCTTAATATCGTGTCTCGCCTTGTTTAATCCACGCGGTGGATAGGATGATTTCGAAATCGATTCATTTAGTGGTCTCTTTGAAGGATCTCAGTCTAGCGAGAGAGCCCGTCGCTTTGAACAACTAGACTTTTGTGAAGGGAGTACAGTTACCACACTCGTCCGAGTTACATAGGCAGAACACTCGAACTTAAAGAAATGCATTGCCTTTCGATTCGGCCGTCGAGCATGTGTGATGACTGTTGCCCTGTCACTATAGCGCAGCTGTTAAAGTGACAGCTTGATTTCTGTAATGGATGTTTTTCCTTAACGCCTTCGTTAGGATCTTCAGCTCCTTTAAGCGCTCTCGTTCCTTCTGCATTACATACGTCACGCGGATATTCTCGCTAACGCTTTTTAGCATTGTGACATTCATCTTTGTGGCATTTCTTGTTCTTCTATTAATGTACGAGCCTGCGCTGGTTGCTGTTATTTTGTCAGCGTCGCGAACGGTGAGTCCAGAAATGTGTCGTAAGCAAGCATAGGAGTCAACCAAGTAATTCCCTTGCTTGGTTCGCACTGTGCTTGTTTAAAGTGGTAAAAAAAGAAAAGCGACTTCAACACAGTACCAAAACAGGTGTCGTTGGAGCAGTCACTTTTTTCCCACCTCGAAACGAGGCGCCAGCCGTTTGTAGGAAACGGGTAGCGAAGGCAAAAGTAAAAATTTCTCGAAACAGAATGTGCACAGCGATACGGTGAGGGGGGGCTGCCTCTCGGGCTGATTGGTGCGCAGTGCGCAACTTAGAAGGAAGGCACGAATGGGTCTCGTCGGGAGAGAAAGGGTTGCTGTCAATTAGGTGTATCCGGGTACGGCTCCGGAGATGGATGACGTCTGGGGCCGCCACTCGGGTTCCCCCCTTCACCCTGTCTGGGCTCCTCGCGCGCGTGCCGCTGGAAGGAGCAGGCGGGCGCAACCGTTTCTAATGGGATTGGATCATCCTCGTTCGGATATCGGCTGTGCACTCGCTTCGCCCCGTAGGGAAGAGCGCATAGGCCTCCATCTTCCCGGCCGAAGCTGTACGCGGCACGTCTGCACGGGCGGCGAACCTCAGGGGCCCGAGCGCACACTCGCGTGTTAGAATCGCGCCGAGGAGATCGGCGAGGAAATTGCAACGTGCCCAGCGGGCGGCTCTGGCGCCCATTACTTAACCGACCGCTGCCAAGCGACATAGGCTCTCTCTTCCCGCCGTTCCGTGACAGAACTTGCCGCTGTTAGAGTGGCACCAAAGCCATATGTGCTATTTCTTA